TGTGGGATGGGTTTGAAAACAGACACTACTCCTTGGTTACTTGTTTTTCTTCCCTCGGTTTCCATGCAGGATGTTGAAATGCCCATCGGGGCGAGATATCCTTGAATAGAAATGTAGACCTTTGCATTGATCTTTTGCCTTTTTGACAGGCAAATGTGATTTCCAATTTGAGTTTAATGCAATGCTGACCTTAATTTCAGCAGTAGCAAAGAAAACCTGCATCCTTTACTGCAGTAGAAAATAAGCACACGATCTTCCAGAGGCATTTTGGTGTTTAGAAGGCTCCTGATCTGGTCACCTTTGTCACCTTTTTGTTCTGCCCATATCAAAAAATATCAATACATAACCCAAACTAATAGAAATTGTAATTTGGAAATGTTTTCAGCAGCTTTCACCTTGGGAAGTCAATGACTTTTATTTTCTTTTCACCTAGTTTGGAAGTTATGTACCATTTTCACAGTGGTACATGGTCAGCTCCTAAGGAATTTCCCAGGACTGCCTCCCCAGAAATGACACAGAAGGGCTTTCCACACATGAAGATGTAGCACCATTTCCCCTCTCATTAACTCTTCTCTTGTCATCTTATTCTGATTGATTAGGGATAAAATCTAAACCCAGGTAGGAGGAAAAAAAAGCCACAGATGGCTTCCCAAATCCAATTAACCCTGAATTCATAAATCCCACTGTCCACCCATGGCATCTCTAGTGCAGCACATATGAGGCTTGGGGTTCTTACAGAATCAATTAATCAATTAATTAGTATAACAAAGTACTTGAGTGCTTCCCTGAGTGTTTTTAATGGGATCAGGAATAGACTATTTTCAATTTCTTGGGACAATAAAGCTTGTTGATGAGCACTGAAGTCCTGCAACTGCCAGAGTAGCAACAAGCCAAACATTTTGGTTCAAAAATATGAGCACAGGATACAATTCCCTCTTAAACTTTTTAATACCTGGATAAATTCTTTTTTTCTAGAGGATTTTAATTAGGAACCCTTAATCCTGGTATCAACAGGATGGGGTTTGTGCCATTGGCAAAATTTATGTACATTTTCTCTGTCTTATATGTCTTGTAGTAATGATCTTTTGGGGATGTAGCAGGTAGTGATCTAGACATTCTGAGTGGCTGGAAAATTCAGTAGGAGCTACTCATATTTATTATTTGGGTTTGTGAATGAAAGCATTTTCCAAATGGGGAGCATATGGCAATGCTCAGAGACTGTCTCTTATCATTTGTATTATATTATGTATTATATAGTATTTTTTTCCTGCAAATCAAAGAACTAAAGATATGCTCATTTCTGATCTGGCTACTGAGTTTCATTCAGTGGTTCCTTTGAGTAATGTGGCTTTTTTTTTTTTTAATAGGTTCTGGCTATCTAAGCTGTACAGTACAAAGAAGAAAAAAAGCACAGGCTTTCTTTCTGTAGATTTCCATTGCCAGGTAGTATCACCTCTGTCTAGAAAAAAAAAAAAACAAAAAAAACCAAAACAAAACAAAACAAAAAAAAAAAAAAAAAAAAGAGAGAGAAAAAAAAAGAAAAAAAAAGGTGAAAGAGAACAAAGCTGGGAGAGCAGATCACTATGCCAGGGCCATCTCCAGGTCTTTCTGTGCCCTACTGAAATGTAACATCACAGCTTGACATGTTTTTCTTCTTTCTTCCTTTGCAAGGATCCCTTAGAATGCTTTAAATGTCCCTTGTTCTGGAGTGGGTGTCTCTGGAGCCAGGGCTGGGAAGGCACTTGAGAAATAGTGACACACAACAGAGAGGTCATGGGAGTTACAGCTCCTGGGGGAAATAAGGCTTGTGGGTAGCAGTCAAAGAAATCAGTGTTGAAGAGGGAAAGAAATTAATATTTAGGAACCAGCTAGAAGGAAACCATTGTAAATCTCCAACCTACTGGAGTAGAAAGAGCTCAGGAATTAATATGCTTTTTCCACGTGGGGAGATTTTGAGAACGACATTTTTGTTCCCAGTTTGCATTTGAAAGGAACGAATGAGAAATTCTGGTGAGCTGGGAGGATCAGAGAGTTGAAATGAAATTTTAGAAGGGTTGCCAAAGACACAGAATGGGATTGAACATTAGGCTTTCTGTGTGATGTTGACAGCAACTCAAATGCTACTCCTTGGTTCAGTTGCAGTGAAGGTTAAAGCAGAACGTATTAAAACCAGCAACAGCTGGCATTTTTAGCTAAATCCCTAGCTAATTTTTTGAAAAAGCCTCTCTCCAGGTGACAGTTTAGTCAGTTAACTTTTATTCTGTAGTCTCTTTTATTTTTTCCTGTTTTACTGCAGATGGAAATCAGACATCCAAGGAAAGGCAATTCCTTTCTGAAATGCATAAAATGAGCAGACCCCTCCAGTGACTTCCCCCATCTCAAAACAAGCATCTGAGAAGAGTCAGAAGAAACATCTTCTGCAAGTTCCCATTGATTTCTAGTTACTGAACCTGAAATCCATGTGTTCACTTCAGGTTTTCATGCATAGCTTTTAAATACCCAAAGCCAAGTGAGATACTTCCTCCCCACTCTTTAGCACATCCTGTGATTTCCCCTTCATTACACTGCACCCACAGGTGCTTCATAGGACAAACTTTTCAAAAGTATAATTTAAAGTTATTGCTGCAGTTTGTAATAATGATTTATGCTCATATAAAAATTTGCTGTATTAAGAACAATTCTGCTATTAATAAATATTACTGTTGGTACCCAGCCTAGTTCCATATTCTAGAAACACAGCAGCAGCCAGAGGACACTGTAACAATCCCTAAAATGTGCTTAGCCATGTCTTAGAAACATTAGAGTTCTCTAACAACCCTTTATTTAAGGAACCATCTTAAAGGTGGCCTTTTTTCATTAAACCCTCATTGAAACAAATAGACTTGGCTAATTAAAATTAGCAGCAATAATAGTGAAAGCTCCTGCTGATTCACCCAGGAGAGTGATTAGAGATGTCAATAATTCCACCTTGGGGTCACTGGTGCAAACCCAGCCCAGTCTGGAGAGATTTCCAACCGCTCCAGATTAAATGTTTATTTGTTTATCTAGTGAATTACGAATCTTGGGTTTGTTCCTGCTGAACAGATGTCCCAAAACCCCTCAAACCCAGCCCTACACGAGGTAACAGCTGTCACTTTTATTAGTGATCCTGTGAGGAGAGAAATAAAGCAGGACATATGTTTACACTGGATGGACTATTCCTCCCTCAGGGTCAGACTAAAACATTGCTACAGGTCAAATGTGAAGTTCAGTATGTGAAGAGATCTGTAAATCCTAGACAAATTACTTAAAAATATTATTTCAGCCCTTTATTTTACAGAGGTCTAGTTAGATAGGGTTTTTTTGTTTTATATATATATATATTTACTTGCTTTTCTAAAGCCTGTATTACTTTTTATTCAAAAAAATTACTTTCCACTAGAAAAAAAATATTTCCCATTAACAGGTAACAGTTTAATTAAAATCTGGAATAGATCCTATTAAGTTAATCTTGTTGGTGAGGCTGGACATGATCACACACTGGCCTGAGGCACAAGGGTCAAGTGAAGAGTAAAGTCATGACCCCAAAATTTAGCACAGCAAAATTCCAGCTGTTCAAGGAATTAATCAACAGGATCCCCTGGGAAACTGTCCTCAGGGACAGGGGAGAAGAACAGAAGTGGCAGATGTTTAAGGATGTTCTCTACAGAGCACAACAGTAAGAAATAGGGCAAGGAAGGCAAGACAAGGGCATGGCTGAGTCAGGACCTGCTAGTCAAACTAAAGGGCAAAAATGGAATGTACAGGCAGTGAAAAAAGGGACAGGGATCCTGGGAAGGGTGTAGGGATGCTGCCTGGTTGTGCAGGGATAATTTCTATTTTGCAGTCTCTTTTATTTTTTCCCATTTCACTGCAGATGGAAATCAGACATCCAACTCTGGGCAGTCAAACTCCTTTTTAAATTCATAGAAAACGAGCAGCCCCCTCCAGTGACTTCACCCATTTCAAAACAAGCATCTGAGAGGGGTCAGAGAAAGCACCTTCTACAAGTACCCACTGATTTCTATTCACTGAACCTGAAATCCATGTGATCACTTTTGACTTTCACATATAACTTTTAAATATCCAAAGTGATTTCCCTGTTGTTACGCTGTGCCTGCAGGTGCTTCATAGGACAAACTTTTTAAAAGTATAATTTGAAGTTGTTGCTGAAGCTTGTATAAAATGTGCAGGGATGGGGCCAGGAAGCCCAAGGCAAACCTGTGCCTGGATGAGCTGAAATGGATGTATCTAAAAGTGAGGATTTCAGCATTCCTGGAGCTGTGCAGGAAACACTGCCTCCCAAAAATTGTGCTCTGTGTGTGGCCATGCAGAGAAGGCAGATTTTGGAGTCCAGATTGTAAATGAATAATTAATTGGCAAAATGATCTTTGGGAAAGAGGATCCTGGGGGACAGTGATGAACTTGTTCCTCAAAGGACAGTGCTAATTAAGTGATCTGCAGCAGGCTGGGTGGGTGCTGGGAGCAAATGGACAAATCTGTGTTAATTATCAGGAGCACAAGGATGTTTCTACCTCATTTCTACAGACCACAAAAAAGCATGATAGACCTTCTGTACCTCTCCAGAAACCTTTAATTCCCACTGACTGCTCCCTGGACCCCCAGCTTGGGAGCTCCTCACACTGGTCATCTCAAGCCTCGTGTTCTCCTTAAGCACGAGCAGAACCTGCTCTGAGTTTTAATTATTTACTAAAGCAAGTTCAAATTGTTTTATCCAAGACCCAAACACATATTCATTGAGTTTTGTGAACATTCTCTTTAGAAGTTACATTTGGTGATATTTTCGTGTTGTATAATCTTTTTTCAAACATTCCCTCCCGTCCCTGTGCACACACACTCACATCTACACAAAAATATCCTGCTTTTCTATTTTCTTAACCAAAGCCCAACGGCAGTTTTTTTTAATTTCCATTTATACTGAGGATCTAAATGAGGCAGAGAACAAAGAGAAGATACTTTACCATCTTCAGGGATGATAAATCTGAACAGTGCAGGACACTTGACAAAGACAATTTCACCCACACTTGCAGGTTTCCAGCATGTAATGTTGTCCCACATTCCTGGGCAACCTAGAGGAGAGAAGGAGGGATAAAATACATTAGTGGTGGAAATCCATTCCTTTCTTCACACTGCTATTGTGCTTTATAGTTGGTTCTTCCTGCTATACATAAAAAGGTTCTTGTTTAGAATAATAAACAGTATCAATTTCCCTGGAATAAAATAATTTTCTTTCAGAGGAATAGCATAAAATAAGTAGTACTAGAGTAATGGCCAGACTCTACTCTTGCAGAAGGATGACATTCCTTAGTCTCAATTTAATCAACAAATTTTCCCTTAAGTATGAAATCTGCTGCCATTCAGCTACCTTTCAGAACTTCTGGATTAATTTTTAAAACTATTTACAGATCATATCTTTGATTAAACTCTATGAATTCCTGTTGGCTCTAATCCTTCTGAAATCCTTCCAAATGGGTACATTTTGGAAATTGTCTGAAAATTGAAAAACAGTTTCTGCTTCATCCTACAGCTATTTCTGTGGATATGTGAGGGAAACTCACCTCTTTAATGCTGTTTATTTTCTAAAAATACATTGTGAAATGTCCTTCCTTAGTGAAGAAATGTCTTAACATCACTCATTATCTTTACTGCAGTCTTTGTTCTACAGAATATAAACTCACAATGTCAAAAGGAGGATTTTGACCTCTAATGACAAACTGGCTTCCAAGAGGGAGAAGTCCTCCTGTAATTTTTCAAACCACCATCTTACCAGCTCACAAACCTGGAAGTGCTTATCCAGTGTACACAAAACTCAGAGCAACCTCTAAAACCTCCTACTGATGTTTAAAAAAATGACTTAGTGAAGGAACCTCAAATGGGATCAACTTCTACCTCAGAAAGAAAGAAAAACTGAATCTAAGCACCTCTGTTTATTTGCATTTGATGTTGAGATCAAGCACATAATCTCATCAACTGCTAAATGCCACCAGCTCCAGGATTTTCTAAGTGGTTTACCATTAATATGCTCTGTCTTTGACTATGTGCCAAGGAATATAAGATTTCAGCAAAAAAATACTTCCAAGTGTTACTTCCTGACTGGCACAAGTACAATATAATGAGCTATGGGTGATGAACTTGTAAAAAACATCACAAGTGTGGGCTTCAGCAGCTCTGGTGATAGTAGCAGATTCCCCTCAGTGGAGGATGTATGTTCACAGGACTGGAATTGGCATCTTTTTTCCGTCGTCTTCAGTGGCAGGGAATCAAATCCTGTGTTTCCTCACAAAAATATGAGCCATGCTTGGTGGGCAGAGCAGTTCTGAGGGATGTGGGGTTTGGAGAACCAGGTCGGTGCCAAGTAAAGTTGTTCTGATGTGTAACATCGTGATAATAACAACATGTTACACGTTACAGGGGTGACACATGCCAAAAAGTGGATAAATACTCTTTCAAACTAAAGGATGCAGCATCAGATTGCATTATAGGCATAATATAATTTAATAATCACATAAAATCCTGACCCTGTTACGTAAAATCCCTCAGCTTTGACAGACCCAACAAAATACAATATTACTGCAGAAAAAGCTCATTAAATCATGACAGGAGCTGGAATCAAAAAGAAATCCTTTACATTTGCCCCTACTCCTCTTTTTTTCCCACCCCTACCCCAGATTGTTTCTTTTGCCAGATGAGGATCCCGTGATATGAGTGCTGTGATTCACTAGAACATTTCTAAAAGTCTCAGAGGCTGGGGTTTGAAAAGTTTGAAAGCTCTCAGGCACAGGGTGGGATTATTGGGGTGTCCTGTGCAGGGCCAGGAGTTGGAATTGATGATCCTTGTGGGTCCCTTCCAGCTCAGGATATTCTATGATTTTGTGATCCTTTTTGTGTACTAAAGATGGAAATCAAGATCATATTGAGTGTTATTAGAATTTATTGTCTTTTATGATAGTTTGTGCCTGTTCACACAGTAGGAATTATATTTTCCATGTAAATCTGAAGATGTTAGCAATAAGTTTACAGCTCTCTGATGTATGACCCCCTGTGAAAAAGTAAATTATATGTAAATATCCATGTTAATGAGACATTTTCTTACAAGAGGTGCTGGAGACAATCAAAGTAGTTAATGAGATCTTTGGAGAACCACCTGTTAGCCTTGCTTAAATTAACTTTCTTATTGGAATTATTATTTCAACATCATTTGTCTTCCAAACACTGGGATAGCAACGGATGCTGCAAACCAGCCCTGAGGAATGCAAGGAAATCCTCACACTGCAGAACAGGGAGTGTAGCCACAGTATAAATATCTCATAACACTGTGTTTGAAATTCAGTTACACCAGGTGGCTGTTTTTGTAGCAACACCACGCAGAGATAAAAAATAGCCCCGTTTAAAAAGTCATTATAAGTTCATTGTGCTAGAAAACACTGATGTGCTGACACTGGGAGAGAGGGGGAAAGAAGTAGCAAGTCAAGTAATTTACCTTAGTTACTAAAATAGCTGAGTGATGGAGATTGTAAAGAGTTCACCACCAATAAATTGTCTGATCCTGCTTGGAAAAAGCAGATTGGAAACGTGCAATTTAGAAGAGCAAAGAAAAGGATGACAAAAAAAAATAAAATTAAATGGAATAAAGGCCAGTGTGTACAACCTCCCTGCATTTGTAAACCATGATAACAGCCAGAAACTCCTGCTGGGGGAAATCTGGCCACGGAAATCAATGTGACTTGAGTGTGAAACTGCCCAGCAGGGCCCCCCCTGGCATGGACAGGGTGTCTCCACTGCCCTGTGACGTAGGGATTCCTGAGCAGGCTCTGGAAGAGGCAGTTCACACACTGCAAGCAGAAAGATACAGCTTCAAGTGGGCAATTTTGCTAATTTTCAGCGTGTTAGAAATCAGTAATAATAATTAAAAAAAATAGTTTTGAAGAGTAAGATTTCGTGTGGGCCAGAATGAAGAAAAAATTATTACAAATAGGGGTCTTGCTAATGGATGGTCTTGGAAACAAAACAGAATCACAGAATCACTAAGGTTGGAAAAGCCCTCTAAGGTCATCAAGCCCGACCCTTAACACAGCACTGCCAAGCCCAACATTGAACCACGTCCCCAGGTGCCACATCCACATGTTTTTGAACACTTCCAGGGATGGTGATCCCACCACTTCCCTGGGCAGCCTGTTCCAATGCCTGAACACCCTTTCGGTGAAGAAATTTTTCATAATATCCAATCTAAACCTCTCCTGGAGCAACTATAGGCTGTTTCCAGAAAGCACAAATCCTGCCTTCCCTTCCCATCTATGCACTGCAACCTGCAGGCTGGAATTCAGTTTGGTAAACATTTTGGGATTCATCTCAGAAAACATAAGTGGAGTACCAATGCTTGGTGTAAGTAAGTAAGCACTTATGTCCTCTTTGTAGCATGGGCAGAAAAGGCTCCAACTTGCTTAGTTACCTCTTCTTTGATGACTGGATGATCCTTTGGGAGCCAATATTCCTTGCTGCTGACTTTTGAGGAAACACAAAATGATCTTTCAACTACAGGATTAGTCCAGATTGGTTTAACTTCAGCTGGCTAAGCCTTACACTTTTGCCCTGTTCAGCCAAGCAAAGTTTCATCTGTAGTTCATGGAAAGAGTCTTTCTAGACAGGGATAATCCCATTTTAAGGTGGCAGCCCAGGGGAATCACCCTGTAAGGTGGAGTTGCATCTCTCCACTGACTACACTCAGCAGGAGGAGGTTAAGAACTAGATTAATAAATACAGCTGCCTTTTCAATGCTTGAAGTTTGTATTCCTTACAGGGTCTAGTTGGTGTTTTGGAGCAGACATGGACCAACTCTTCCCTCTGGGCACAGTGGCTGCTTATGAAAACCCCCGTGATCAGACCCTACATCTCTGTCTCAAGCTTCCTCTTGTAACAGTGAGGTAAAATTCATGTTTTAATTGTGAATTCCCTGTGACTGGATCCACCACGCACTTTTACTTCAAAAACCAGTCTGATTTCAACTGAAGCACAATGTGGATTTTATATGGATTTCATGTGAAGCCCATGACATTAGAGATTAAATTCAACATTGTTGAAGCTGAGGGAGGTGCCTCACATACCTAAGGATGGATCTGACCTGGTAGCCACTGAAAAAGAACAGCTCTTTTAAAAAAAAAGGCCGTATTTCTTAACTAGGAGAAAACTTTTATGGTTTGTGGGTTTTTTTTTTTTTTTTTTTTTTTTTTTTTTTTTTTTTTTTTTTTTTTTTTTTTTTTTTTTTTTGTTTTGTTTTGGTTTTTTTGTTTGTTTTGTTTTGTTTTGTTTTGTTTTTTTGTTTTTTTGTTTTTTTAATTTATGATTGTAGAGTTTTCTGATGAATTTTTAAAACTAAACCTAACACCAAAACCATTCTGGTCACTCTGCCTCCATGGAGATCCACACAAACCTTATTCCCATCTTTCATTTCCAGTCAAGTCTCTTGGAGGAAAACACTCTGTCTCTAACCTGCTACTCCTGGCAGCTGAAAAGCTCCCTCTTGCCTGAAGTTTCTGGACAAGCACCAAGAGATAAAAAAAAAATAAAAATAAAAAATTCAAAGCAAGCCATGCTGGCAGAAGAGCAGTGATAAACAGCTCTGCTGAAAAATTGCTTATGGTCCCTTATCTTCCTTTTCTCCTCTGTCTAGGGCTGTCTTGAGAGTCACAGTTTGATAGTGGGTAGATAAAAAAACCCAGATTTTAGGCAGCCCCATAGCTGAAGTTCACTGAGCTCAAGGAATGGACCTTGTTTTAAATCAACTGAGGATAAAGCCTGTTATCTTTTACCAACAGTCACTGTGTCACCAGGACTGTGTTCAAACTCTTTTTTTTTATAGATTTGTGTCCTGTTTTCTTATGGTGCCTCTACCATCGTACCCTCATTTACACTCTGTATTTAAATCCTCTTTGCAGTCTCCACAACATCCTCCTGTGTCCTTATCTTGCCCTGGTGAAAAATGCTTCCTCTCATCTCTGTCAAATTTTTGGCAAGAGGAGATGCAAAAGCAGAGATGTGTTTTTTTGGATGGCAAGGCCATGTGTGGTAACTC